GGCTCGGCCCTGGGAGGGGTCTCCTGCGAGTCCTGGCTCCCAGCGGTGTGCTCCCTGCTCGGCTGCTGGGAGGACAATGAGGTGAGGGGGGGGCGCCGGGTGTGCCCTCGGCTCCTGGCTCAGCCGCACGTGTTGCCTCCTGGTTGCGAGGCCGCCTCGGGAGGAACATTGACTCTGGCCCACGAGCAGCGGGTGAAGCGAGGGCACCTGGAGCCTGCTTCCCGGGTCGCCGCCCTCCCTGCCCCCACCCCGCCCCTGCGTCAGCATTCCTGTCCCTCTGCCTCCCCAGGCGACGCTCTGTGCAGACACATGTGCCGGGCCGTCGGTGAGAGCTTCATCATGCGGCGTGGGGACAGCTTCCGGGACGGCACCCGCTGTGTGCCAAGCGGCCCGCGGGAGGACGGGACCCTCAGCCTGTGCGTGTCGGGCAGCTGCAGGGTAGGCGTGTGCAGGCAGCGGGCGCCTCTCCGTCCCCTGTGGCCCCCAGGCCTGTCCCAGCAAAGCCGAACACGGCCTCCCGGGCGAGGCCAGTGGGGGCGGGTCCCCGAAGCAGCAGCCGCCTCGCGGGATGAGAGGGGATCGGGCCGACCTTGGGGGCAGCAGGGTTGAGAGCTGCGCTGTGATCTGGGGCGGCCATTTAAGCTTGTCTCCGGAAGGGGCCTCAGATGCCCTGTACGCGGCCCGTTTGTCATGTGACTCTGAGAGCCAGCGGGGCTGCCCCCCCAGTGACACGCAGCCCGGCGCCCCTGCCATCCCCTTTGCGCAGACGTTCGGCTGTGACGGCAGGATGGACTCCCAGCAGGTGCCGGACGAGTGCCAGGTGTGTGGAGGGGACAACAGCACGTGCAGCCCCCCAGGCGGGGCAGGCAGGGTGGGGACCCTCACGTTGGCTCCGCCCTGGAGCCTCCACCGCCCACTCTGCCAGATGTTGGGAACCTGCTGTGGTTTGCAAAGCCATTGCTTAGAGCAGCGGTTCTCAACCTGTGGGTCGCGACCCCTTTGGTGGTCGAACGACCCTTTCACAGGGGTCGCCTAAGACCATCCTGCATCTCAGATATTTACATGACGATTGATAACAGTAGCAACATGACAGTTATGAAGTAGCAACGAAAATAATTGTATGGTTGGGTCACAACATGAGGAGCTGTATTTAAAGGGCCAGAAGGTTGAGAACCACTGGCTTAGCGGGTCAGTGGAGGACTTGATCCCGCCTCCCTCCAGCAGGTCCCATCCCACCCCCGCCCCCCCCAGGGCGGCTCCCCCACAGGTGGCCCTCCACCAGCCTGATTGCCCGCCAAGGCGCCCGCACAGTGGGGCTGGCGCTGTTGAGCCTGTTCTTGGTGCCGAAACCTGCCCCTCGCCTGCGGTGGGGCGGGGTCTCAGCCCTCTGCTCCCTCCTAGAGTACGTCACGTTCCTGACACTGACTCCCAACCTGACCAGGGTGCACATCGCCAACCACAGGCCTCTCTTCACACACCTGGGTGAGTTGGCGGAGGGCTCACCAGAGTTCGCCAAACCTCGAAGGTGGAGGGCACGGTCCCCAAGATGCCCGCACTGCTGACGCCAACGTTGAGGTCAGGGTTCCCCAAACCACCGCCAGATTGGACAGCTCACTAGGACCCCCAGACTCAGCTGTTAGGGTCACGGTGGAAACGGGGAAGGACAGAATAAACCAGCCAGGAGGAGATGCCCAAGGCAGAGTCGGGGCTCTGGGCCAGCGTCCAGCGTGATGGGCATGGAGTATTGCCCACCCAGGGAGCTCACCCAGGCTCCCTGCCCATTTCTACTGGGGCTTCTATGTAGGCCTGATCGGTTATTGACTGATTGATCAATTGAGCGCTCACATGAATGGTGTCAGTCTCCAGGCTGACTCATGCCCTGTGACCTAAGGCCCCGAAACCACGTGTTTGGTCTTTCTGGTTGGCCAGGCCCCTCCTTAAAGACTCCCCCCGGCTGACTAGGCCCCCTCCCTGTCGTTGGGCAAGGCCAACTTCTTTACTCCCCGGTCTCCCTGGGGCTGTGTGTCCAGGGTAGCCCACACCTGACCTTTGAACCCAGAGTGGGGGCCTATCAGGGTCCTTGAGCTCCTGAACTGGCCCGTAGAGCTCGCGTGGGTGTGCGTGGTGGGGAGCAGGCCCCGGTGCTCCCCGGGTTCTGGGGGAGGCGCGGAGTTGCCGCTGCGAGGAAGCCTGGGGCAGCCCCTGTGTGCACTTCGAGGGGTGCCTGCAGAGGGGTGGGGGACCCGTTCCTGGGGCTGGGGACCTGGAGGAGGGCGGTCACAGGTGTGGCCACGGAGACGACAACCTGTTGGCTGATTCCTTAAACCAGGGCCTCCTCTGTGAAAGGGTGGTGCCCCCTCCTAGGTGGCGGGGGGCGGGGGGGGCGGCTCTGCTGTGCTGACAGGCCTCGCTCCCCCCAGCGGTGAGGATCCGCGGGCGCTACGTGGTTGCTGGGAATTTCAGCATCTCCCCCAGCACCAGCCACCCCTCCCTCCTGGAGGACAGCCGCATCGAGTACAGAGTGACCCTCACCGAGGACCGGCTGCCCCGCCTGGAGGAGATCTCCATCCCGGGCCCCACCCAGGAAGACTTGGAGATCCAGGTGACCAGCCGCTCAGTCGCGCGCTCGCACGGAGCCCCTGGTGCTGAGTGGGTGGCCGGAGAGCCCGGCAGGCCCAGGGGCTGCCCCCGGAGGGCGGCGGGGCTGGGCCTGGAGGAGCTGGTGCCCAGGCCAGCCAGCGGGCAGTGTCTCCAGAGAACCTGCGAGCACAGGAGGAGTGGTTAGGGGGCTGAAGGAAGGGGACCCCCCAGGCAAGAAGGCTAGAGGACGGGGCAGACCTCGAGGGGCTTCCTGGCCATGGGCGGAGTCTGGGCTTCCTCTTGGGTGTCCAGGGGCTGAGGGGCCCTGCAGTTGGAGTTGGGAGGGGCCTGTGTCAGGCCTGGCTTAGGGGGGTGGAGGACCGAGACAGTCGGGGAGGCCGGTCTGGCCAATGCTGAGGTCAGAGGCCTCAGTCTCCTCCCCTGTGGAATGGGGTCGCAGTCCTGCCTCCTGGGGTCGCAGCATGCTTAAGGAGTGACCACCCCTTCCGGCCGCCCCCTCGGGTCTCATCTCTCCTGATCTCACCCCGGGCATGTGCTGGGCTCCCCTCTGTCTGAGTCCCTGCCTCCCGCCTCTGCTCCATGCCCCACCCCTGCTCCACCTAGAGCCTGTGACACCTTTCAGGCTGCCATCCTGCCCCCACCAGGCCCTGGAGGGTTATCTGTCACCACCCACCCCACCCCACCTCGAGCTCCTGGAGGCTGTGACAGGGTCCCACTGGCCGTGCTGTCCCCAGAACCTGGGTGCGGCCACCTCAGTGGTTGCTTGCTGACTGAAAGAATGTGGGGCCTCCAGGAGGTGGCGGTGGCAGTGACCCCCAGGGAGCCCCTGGGTGAGGCCCCGTGCGCCCGTGTCCTGCAGGTGTACAGGCGCTATGGCGAGGAGTATGGCAACGCCACCCGCCCGCACGTCACCTTCACCTACTTCCAGCCTAAGCTGCGGGCCTGGGCGTGGGCTGCCACGCGGGGGGCCTGC